GAAGCCTGGCGCTGGCCGACCTCCTGGCCGGCCTGGGCTTGGTGCTCCACTTCACCTGTGCCTACTTGCTCCGCTCGGACTCGGCCCAGCTGCTGACCGTGGGCCTGGTGGTGGCCTCCTTCTCTGCCTCCGTCTTCAGCCTGCTGGCCATCACCATTGACCGCTACCTGTCGCTGTACTACGCCCTCACCTACAACTCGGAGCGGACGGCGGCCTTCACCTACACCATGTTGGTCCTCCTGTGGGGTCTCTCTCTGTGTCTGGGTCTGCTCCCCGTCACGGGGGTCAACTGCCTGGCGGAGGAGGCCACGTGCAGCGTGGTGAGGCCGCTGACCAAGAACAACATCGCCGTGCTGTCCGTCTCCTTCCTGCTGCTCTTTGGCCTCATGCTGCAACTCTACGTCCAGATCTGCAAAATCGTGATGCGCCACGCTCATCAGATCGCACTCCAGCATCACTTCCTGGCCGCCACGCCTCACTACGTCACAACGAGGAAGGGCGTGTCCACGCTGGCCATCATCCTGGGCACCTTCGCCGCCTGCTGGATGCCGTTCACCGTCTACTCCCTCATTGCTGACTACACCTACCCTCCACTCTACACCTACGCCACACTGGTACCTGCCACCTACAACTCTGTCATCAACCCTCTCATCTACGCCTTCAGGAACCAGGAGATCCAGAAGGCTCTGTGGCTGGTCTGCTGTGGCTGCGTGCCCGCCAGTGTGGCCCACAGGGCGAGGACTCCTAGTGACGTCTGACAGAGCAGACCCAGGTGGACAGAGAGAGGTGGCCTGGGTCAGCTCTGCTCCTCACTGGGTCTGTCCAGTGTCACAGGGAGCAGCAGCAGCAGCAGCAGTGGCGGCAGCAGCAGCAGCAGCAGCAGTGTCGGGGGGGCGTGGCCCGGGGGCAGTGGCATCAGCTCAGGCTGCAGATTTGTCCCTGGGGGGCAGTTTGGTTAAACAGACTGTCACAGTGCGACTACACAGAGGTTGTTGTTGTTCTTGTTGTTTCCTACAGTCACCACGGGGCGTGTGGATCTCACTCACAGTCTTCCCCTGTAAAGGCAGCCACTGCGTGGGCTGCGCTGCATCACGCCCTCCCTCCCTCCCTCTCAGCCGGCGCCACGCCCTTCCTCTGTTCTGCAGAGAGTGCATCACATGTTACAGGAGCGGCTGTATATGTGTGTATATATGTGTAATGTGCATACAGTTAGCAGCAGCAGCAGCAGACCCCTGATGACACGTGCTTGGTTTTTTTGTTGTTTTTTTCCAACGGGGGAGGGGAGAGGGTTTATTATTCCTTTGTGCTCCTCTTTGCTCTTGTGTGTAAAAATGCACAGAAGATTAACAGAGCAGTAATGGAGAGAGTGTGAGAGCGAGGGAGGGGGGGAGACAGAGGGAAGGTGGGTGGGCGAGGGGAGCAGCTATGGTCGAATGCGCAGGTATTTCCAGAGTGAAGCCCGCGTCTGGAGCCGGAGCGGCGTCCCAGCTCTGTGCTGCTGCACTCTGAACGTGCGTTGAGAGCTAAAGAGCCGCGGTGAGCTATAAATAGACGCGGGCGCTCTGTGATCCACGGCCCTGCGTCCTCCACAGACGCTGAGAGAGAAACCAAGCCCTTTCTCCTTCTCCTCCTCCTCCTCCTCCTCATCATCATCATCATCATCATCATCATCATCGTCTGTCCTGTTTTCTCCCTTTTCCCTCTGGAATGTGTGTTTTATTCTTGGCTGTACTCGACGTCAGAACAGAGCCCCAGGAGACCCCCCCTCCACCAACACCATTAACCCCCTCTCCTCCATCTTTAATTGGCATGGAGGCATCGGACTGAGTGCAGGCCTCTCAGATTATGTAACGGCATTCAGTCCATACACTTGGAATGACCTTTAGGATTGGAATTGTTTCCTCTGGTATTTAAATGAGAATAATAACATTAACTCCAATATGAAAGTGCATCTTTTTCACCAGAGGAAATGACAGTAGACCAAATATAATGAGGGATTTGATCATTTTGGATTCACAATTTGTTCTTTTCAGCTCCAGAATCTCCTCAGCACTGACTTCACTGAGCTGCTTCTTTAATCATCATTGTTAGGAGGTTCATTTTTCACCTCATCTTTTGTGCTTTTGATTTTTTTCTTAGAATCTCACAAAAAAATGCAGTATTCCTGGTGACATCAGGTCAAAGGTCAGGTACTCTTTACCCATACTGCATCACTGCCAGACAACTTTAGACGTGAGCCCAAATACGGCCCTCAAACGTTGTCCTTTTTCGGGAGTTTCGTGGTGACTTGTCCATGTGTAAACCCCGATGCCAAATACCAAATGGTCCACGTTTGGTCCAGTTCTGTCAGCTGTGACCACTTTTGGCTGGTAATCTGTGGCAAACCAGATCGTACTGAACCGAACCGTACCGTCAGAGTGCCATCATTCTGTGCCATACGTGGGGTGAAATGTCAGTATCTTTTCAGTCAGAGGAGAGCACTGGTCAGTCCATTACAGCACATATGAAGAACAACTGACCCCAACATTCACACCTGTGGTCAGTGTAGACTCTCCTGTAACCTTGGTGAACTCAAGCACAGCAGAACCGACACAGAACAATGAAGTTCCTGCAGTGAGGGAATAGCACAAACTGCTGCTTGATGTTAGCTACTTAGCCCAGCTTCCAATACTGAGGCTAATATCCTTTTATTCCCTGTCATGTCCCAACTGTCCACCAGGGTTTCAGCCAGTTTAGTCAGTAGATTTTGTCTTACACCAGTTCTCCGCACAGTGAAGTCAGTGCTCACGATGTAACATTTCCAAAAACAACTATCCTCTCAGAGAGAGTCACAGCAGCCACTGCATGATTCACCTCGCTGTATTTTGCATGTAGGCAGCACAGACCTTCACTTCTTCCTGTTGGGTTCAGTTTGGATAATAACAAAAGCCACCGGAGGCGATGCGTCACCGTACCTGGACGTCATCGTGACCCGGTGATTTGGTTGAACCACATCAGACCACCGGGCTGTGTTTTTTTAAACAGTAGGTCATGAAGCAAAAAGGAAAAAAAAAACATGGATGCAGAAAAAGTCTGGTCAGACTATCACTGATCCTAGATCTCTGCTGTTCGTTGCCGTAGTTTAACTTCACGTTGTTAATAACAATGAGCAGACCGTAGATGTTCCTCTCGGGTCGTTCCCCGGCAGTTACGAGTCGTTCCTTTAACTCCAGCTCTGATCACACGTTGTGATCAGTTAGCTACAATTTGGGAGAAGCTGAAATCAACACTTTCCCTCCCACTCATCACCAGCTGCTCCGCGTTAGCTCTCCATTGTTCAAACAGCCATGTTTGCTGGGTCTTCGTTCGTGCACACAGACCGTATCAGCAATAACCAGCCACCGAACGGTTGTTATTGTTTTGGGTTTTGGTTTTTTCCCTCGATGTGAAGCAATATTCACTCAGCAATAACATCCTCCATGACTTATTTCTGCAAAGAGAACCGGGAGGGTCCCCGGGGGGTGTGGGGGGGGGGGGGGTAAACAGGCTGTGGTGACTCCTCACAGATACACCATCAGATATGTGGTTGGGAAGTAATCACTCCTGGACCGGAAAACGACTGCGTCTGCTTCATTCCTCCACCCAGACCCTGATCATCTGTCTGTTTGTGTTTTGTTTGTTGTTGTTGTTGTTGTTGAGGGTCATGACCTCAAGCCTCAGTGCGTGATCTGGGACCGTGTTTTTTGTGCACACGGTACGAGTTGCATGGCCTCCGGTTGTGTGCATGTGTGTTTCCGTGTGTGTCTCCAGCAGATACTAAAGTTGTCTCCTCACGTCTTGTGTAGTTGAAGGGGGGTCTGAAGAACAGAAATTCCCGCTGTTCCCTCTGACATCGGAGGGGAATGCTTCCAGTCTTCCTGTCGGTTCTGAGTGAAGTGGCCTGGTTGTGTTTGTTGAGGGTTTTCTTTCTTTCCTTCTTTCTTTCTTGAAAGGAGACCAGACTCGGTCATGGACGCTCCAGCACTTCAAGCCAAAGTGGAAAGCGGGCTGATTTGTTTCTCCTCTGTGTTTATAATAATGTTCTGGTTGAGGCAGGTGACCATTAAGTGACCTCTGAATGATACTATGAGCTAAAAACGGCCACGTCCAATGACAAAGTCCATGCTTCTTCTTTCCTCCCTCGCTCTCCTAAAAAAAAAAAAAACAAAGCCCTGAGTGTTGTTCAGAGCTGTGTTCACACTTGTTGGATTTCTATAATTAAATCAAACCCTGACGTGGTTTGAACAGCTACAGAACCCCAACCCTGACCCAGAGAGCCGACTGATAGCATCAACTCTGTGATCCAAACTGAACAAAGCTGCTGCAGCTCCTCCTTTTATAACCTGATCCACTCCAACACAGCTGGAACCAATGGCTCATGAGCAGCAGTTCAGTCAGAGCACAGGTGAAACAAACACCTGGGCAGTGACAGAAAAACAAATCTGACGTTTGCTGTGTCCAGAACCAGCTGTCGGAGAAAGAAGTTGAAATGGATTTAGAAAAAACTTTAGGGGATTTTTAGGTGTTTTCGGGCATTTAAAGTTTTCATAGATTTTTGACAAATCAAAAAATGTTTTTATGGAAGTTTGTCGACCATTTCCAAGGAGCACTGAGGAGTTGGGTCATTAGAGCACGGTCACCAGAGCAGCCATTATTGTTTTAGATTTGACTAAAATTCAAATCCTTCACAGACTTCTGTCTGAGTGATTTAAAAATAAAAAGAAGCCAGGATTTGTACCAGCAAACTTAATGTGTTATTTTCTGCTCCGGTCTGGATCGAGCTACCAGTGTGAACACCCTGTGAGAAGCTCTCGTTCTTTCACCAGTGGTAAAGTTCTTAGTTCTAAGTGTGAGAGTGAAGAAGGAAAGTTGAAAAAAAAAAAAAAGCATTTCTAAGTGTTGGACCGTAGCCGGTGTATGTGAAACTTGTGCACAGTGTCAGACTGAACGCTGCAGTTATTTATTTATTCAATGAGCACCAACGCGGTCAGGGCTGGCACGCCACACACTGTCACGAACACTAATTCCTTTACCTTTGGAGAAAAAGTCTATTTTGTTATATTCATTGAAAAACGTGTATTTTTTTCCCACGTGGGTCTGGCCTGTTCTCCTCCTGGATTCTGATGTTGTGTGATAATAACAGTAATAATAACGACAATAATAACGGCGCTGTAAAGCCTTTTATTTCTGAATGTAGTGATAATCCTCTTGACTCTTCTGTTTCCTGTAAATAAGGCATGCGTATAAAAAAGGGGAGACGCCACACCGGGAGATGATTTGGTCGCACCGTTACTTCGATTGACATTTGTCCACATCAGTCTGATCTGGTGGCTTTTTGACTCTCTAGCTTCCGTGTGCACCGGTACATGGACGATGAGAAGGTTTTTTGATGAAGGGATGAAGGGACGGTAGTGTTGAGATTTAAATAGTGAAACAGGTGTGAACAAGGGCTTTGTATCCAAGAATAGTGACAGACTGTGATGTTGGATGTAATACTTCTCTGTGTACACACACACACACACACGCACACACACACCTGTTTCCTTTCACCCAATGGTTTTTAAAATGTTACCACAAACACCAGAAAATGTGTAGCCTGTATCTGGGAGGCGGCGTCTCTCCCCTCCCTCTCCCCTCCCTCTCCTTCCTCTCTTTTTGACCGATACCAATATAGAGCTAAATATCAAACCACTCAAGGGCCTGTGAATGTGTGAGTGTGTGTGCTTTGGGTCGGAGGTCGCAGAGAGGGCGGGGAGGACGCCGCGGGCAGAGCATCTTGTGTACACGTATGCGTAGTTTTCAATGTGAAATGCACTTTACTTTTTGGGGATGAAAATGGCACAAACCAATTAAGAGTATCTGCAAAATGAAACGTATTAATGATAATCAACATGCACTAACTTAAAGTGAGATATTGTACAAACGTTTGTGTGAACGTGCTGTCTATTTTTCCAAAGTGTTAGTTGTACCTTTTTATTGCTTTGGTTAGTTCACTTTAACTCTGGACAGATCTTGTTAATTTTTCTATTAAAAACAAACATGTGCAGTGCATAAGAACTCCTGTCTGGACTGTTTTTTTGTTTTTGTTTTTTTCTTCACCTCCGCCCAGCCGTCTTTACTTTTTTTTCCCCCCACTCTTCTGTTTCTGTGGCAACTCCCCTCTTAGTTGTACCGTTGCCATGGGAACTGAAGTGTGGGAGCCAGGTATGTGTCGTCTCCATGCCGACGCTGGAGCAGCCAGGGGAAGTGGACGGAAGCTCAGTTGTGATGCTTTCATTCATCAGTTTATTTATTTCGTTTTTTTCCTCTCTGGGTCAAAGGTTACACAGTTTACACAAGCATATACAGTACAAGGCCCCGCCCCTAACCCTCCCCACCCGGCTAGTCCCTAAATCTAAACAGCTGTGAGTCAGAAGACTCATATTTATCATCAAATGTTAAGACTTTATTTTTTTACATGATCCGACCATCACAGACTGTATATCAGGATCTTTGAAGCCTGGAAAAGACTGAACAAGTTTCATAGTTGTCTCTGAAAGACATGTTTAATATACAGTCCATGTTCACTACTCCGCCTAAAATGGAAACCTTTCTTGGTCGGGACCATGTGACCGTATGGATACTTCCTGTTATTGATGGTAAATATTAGGAAGTAACAAAGTTGGACCAGACAGTGGTTAACACAGGCATAGGCAAACTAAGGCCCGGGGGCCGGATACGGCCCGTTCAGCTTTTTTAATCCACCCGCCAACTTTTCAAAATTATATAATATAATATATTATTTATATAATCATTATACTTCTGCAATACCAATGTTTCCTCAATAGATGGTGTAGAAAATGATAAAAGCATTTTAGCATTTTAGCCTAAAAAAGTTTGGGTTAACATGATGTAGAGCACGCAACAGAAAGACTGAGTGAAAAGTTCTTTACCTGTCTATGATTCTGCTCATCTTGCTACTGTTTTCTTTAGGGAAGAGGTAAATGTAGACGTTCAAGTATGGTGACTGTACACACAGGAAGTAACCACATGGTCACACGTGTAGAACAAGACCAAGGTTTGCTCAGTGCAGTGACACATTTTTCCTTCTCACTCATCCTTACAGCATTCTGGACGTTCTCCTCAGCAGCAGCAGCAGCAGCAGCAGCAGCTTTCTGACTTTGTTTCTTCACTTCCAGTTATTTTCATCTACGTGTTAAAAACTCGCCTCCTGATCTATGGCAATAAGCGATTTTATCAGTAAAAAGATTATTTTCTTAAAAAAACAAAAACCAAGTACATAGGTTATCTGAAGAGGAACATCTCTAATACTTCTAGAAGTCTCTCGGGCTCTGACTACAGCACCTTCATACGGTGTCTATCGTGTTACATCAGGTAGAGACAGATTCACTGGGGTGTATTCACAACAGCCTCTCAAATTAAACTGAGAGTTAATGGTTCACAGTCTGGTCAGCGTTTACTTCCACTACTGCTCTCTCTACAGTATTTATGCAGCCTGAATACTCCCTCCTCAGCATGTGATCGTGTGTAGGTGTGTTCACAGCAGTGGGCATTCCTTCACGTGAGCGTAGGAACGACCGATTGTGTCTTCTTGGTCTTCATCTTCATCTTCTTCATGTGTGTATGTGCCTAAGATTATTAGTGATTGGGTCTTCTGTGTGTTTGTGTATGTGTGTGTGTTTGTGTGTTAATCAGACCAGTCGTTCTCCTCCAGCTCGGAGTCGTCCTCCGAGTCGGAGTATTCAACAGCGATGCGTCTCGACAGGATGGTGGCCACGTCGTTTCCCACGGGCTCCCTCTTGGCCTGCTGCTCCTGCTGCTCCTGCACCTTCTTCAGCTGGATGCCTGTGGGAGAGCAAGGAGCGTGAATCCAGGTTGGTTACTTCTCAATAACAAAAAGGTTTTGGACTAGCAGGGTCACTTTTTAAGAAGCTTCCTCAGCTTTTATTGTCAGAAATTCAATTCAAATATTAATATTCTTCAAAGAAACTTTTATATGTTCAAACACACACACACACACAGTGTGCCTCTTACCCATGCGTATAGCAGCGAGCAGATCACTGCGGGCGTCACTGACCACTGCAGTCTCAGGGGCAGCAGAGGAGGACATCTTGCGAGTTGCGGAGTGGAAGGCACCCGCTGACAGGGGAGGACCAGGAGGAGGTGGAGGAGGTGGAGCCATCTGAGCTCCCGACACAGGTGGCGGAGGTGGAGCGTAGCCAGCCATTGGTCCAGGAGACATGGGACCTCCAGGAGATAAGGCAAAGGCCGTCTGGGCAGAGGGGATGTGAGGAGCAGGAGGAGGAGGGGGAGAGCCAGAGTTGATGTACCCATCCATACTGTGAGGAGAGAGACAGAAAAACAAAGTAAATAACAGAAGTGACCAGACATTGGACTGGACGACGTTTATCCACTAGATGGCAGCGTTGTCTAAAAGTTCGTGCGTCACATGAGAAGCGGCTCATTTAAGTAAAGTAAAATATAATACATTTCAAATGAAAATACAATTCTACCCATCGACGAAGTATTTTTAAATTAAAATGTGTTTACGTCATAATCTTGACACAAGAACAACTACATAAAATTAGCTAAAAGTACACGATCATTACTGTAAAAAATCAACTTTTAATAAATGAGTATACAAAAAGATATATATGAAGTGGAAATCTAACTCCCAACCATCTGGTTAGAGGACAGCCCACTGCCTCCTCACTGAGAACACACAACCATCTGTGATAACAGTGTGACTGTGGTCTTTACCTGTAGTCCACAGGTGGTAGAGCCATAGATCCACCGTTCATAGCCTCAGTGGGTGGGGGAGGCAGTGGGACCTGCTGATGGTGGTGAGAACGTCCCAGTGTCCCGCCCTGATAGGCCATCATGGCTCTGCCTCTGCCCTCCAGTTCTCCACCTCCACGAGCAGCAGCGTGTCCCGCAGACATCTGTGCGGCCAGCGCACTGGGCGGAGGCCCGGAGTAAGTGTGTGCGTGACCGGCATGGTTCATGGCGTTGGGGTAGTGATGCTCATCGGCTCGGTGACCCCTGATCGAAGAAGATTTGGATTCAGTTTCATCTCCCCAGTGTTCAATAAGAGAAGACGGTCAGTTTGTCACTGTCCACCCACCTGTTCTCTGGGGACATGGAGCCTTCGGATGAAGCTCCTCTGTCACGGTGTATGGTATGTCGGTGGTCAGGCCTCAGTTCCTTGTCCAGAGCCATCATGTTCCACTCCTGTCGACGGTTCCTCGCCTTACGAACCTTCTTCACCTCCCTCTGTAACGTCCCATCCACACAGCGACGCTGCTCCTGGAAAGACAAAAACAGAACAAAAGACAAAGACAAAAACAGAACGTCTTAAGTTTGAATTTAAAGTTGTTAAAGATAATAATGTCTTGTTCTTCTAGAAACATTAAATATGAGTTCAGTGATTCGCTCAAATTTGAAGCGCAAAAGGTTGTATCATGAGCGCAGGTGGTGTTCACCTTCTGCTTCCTCTTCTCTTTCCTCTTGTCCTCTGTGTCCTGCAGCATCTTCTCCTTCCACAGGTCAAAGAAGTACGACGGATCGGTGTAGAATTTAAGCGCTTCCTTGTGGTCGTCTCTACAGGAACAGGAAGCCAACAGGTGCAGAATGTTGACATGTGTTTGAATAGTCACACAGTTCTACACAGTAGGAGCTACAACCATATAAAAGCGAATAGCGAAAAAAACAAAACAAAGATGGAAATCCTGAGCTGTTACAATGGGACGTCACACACTTTTATCAAAATACTCAATGCACCTGAAGAAATAGAAACACAGTCAAACCACTGACTGTCAACGTAGGAATAGAAAATACAGCTCAGAGCAGGTAATTAAAATCACAGTTTGTGTAATAATCACAATATTAAAATATCAGAAAATTCAGGGATTTTTTATTAACTTTTTAAAATATTTGTATTTGGTGAAATACTAAAATCTGACCAAAAATATAACTAAAATTTCTGTCTTTGTAGAATTCTAGAGCTCAATAACACAGAAAATAATTTATAAATAATAATTTCAAAGCTTTTGTCAACGCTGTTGGAGACTCCTGTCTCAACATGTTGCAGTGATTAATACCAGACATCTGTGGGACAGAGTTGCTGCCCCCCCAGTACTGACCTGTAGACTGAGAGAATGTGGAGCGGGGGCGGCTTGTCGCTCACGTTGTATATTTCTTTGACAGGATTTGGAACGCTGCTCTTCGATACCACCTGCTGGTCCTGGACGGTAGAGCTCTTGAAGGCTTTCCTCATGTTAATATCCTGCAGGGAAACTGGCAGCACAAAAAGAGGAAGAGAATCGAATGAACGATGGGTAGGAAACAAAAGGAAAAATGAGAAGTAACATAACAGAAATACCCCGTCAGCATCGAACCTATTTATAAACCGTGCAGCTGTGAAACACAGAGGCTCACTGTGTGCCAGAACAAATCAGACTGATGAATGGTGCTACTTAACCTCTGACCTCTAATGGCCAACCTCTCACTCACCTTCCTCCACCGTGGAGTCCAGCTGGGTGACCTTCACGGCCAGCCGGTCGATGCGGTCCTGCAGAGAGTTGGCGCGCAAGTAGAAGGTGTTGGCTTCGTTGAACAGCTCTCCAAAAATGTCCTCAGCATGTTTACCTGGGAAGAAGGAGACATGAAAAAAGACGGAGACTTACAATCATTATCTGGAGCCAAGTAGACCCCCGCCGAGGCTGGGACAAACAGAAAGTAGACCCCCGCCGAGGCTGGGACAAGGCAGGAAACAGTGAATCACAGAGATGTTTCCCCTGTGGATAAGTCATCATTCACATGAATCTGAACGGATTACAGATTATTCTGATTATTCTATTCGTGTGAGCGCGTGCTTCTTTGAAGCTCTTCACATGTAAATAAGCAACGTGGCCACATCCTTCTCTACCACCACAGCTGCCATCAATACTTCATTGATAAAAGACTCACTGTGTTGACTCGGTTCTACAGCTGTTTACTGACTAAAAGAGTCTGGTTCACATGAAGAACAGTGGGAGCCTAACAATGATCCTCATTCATTAGGACAGAATTTCTCTCCATGTGTTTACACATCACGTCCGACATGTCACATGAAAGTCCGACCAGCAAACAGCAATAAAACAGAGCTGCTGATTAGCCAGGGCTTGGGGCAGAACTCTGGAAATTCAATTCAATTTTGTGTCTTTTGATGCTTCTGTGAGTCGCTGGAAAATGTCCAGCTACGATTCTGCGTCACAGAAAATTCAATTTTTTCACGTAGAGCATGTTTTGTCAGAAAGCTAATCCGGTGCATCTCATCAGAATCATGGCAGCGTTAACGTTGGTTAAAGTTAACTTGTAAGTATGACTTGGGTTTTATGGCATAACCCACAATAATATTTGTGTTTTTTGGACACAAATGTTAGCATAGGCTACACGGAGCTGGAGACTCCAGGGTTTATGACCTAAGTTTAATAAAAGCTCAAGACAGTGGTTTTTCTTATAGCTTTTAAATTATAACATGTGGGTCATACTAAACATGAAAAGAAAATCTATATCTGGTTTTATGGCTAACACACACACACACGTTCACAAAAACACATGTTAAGAATTATTTCTGTCCTGTGTGCAGACAGGATGGGCAGCAGGAAAAATATTTAGAGGAAGGAAGAATCACAGATCCGGCACGCTGTTCCCCATCAACCCTGACCTCCTTTGAGGACTCTCATGGTTTTTCTCATACACATACATGTGCACACTGTCATGCACACGGCGTGTGTTGTGGTGTCTGTCAATGAGGGCCACGGCCGTACCAACGTTTATATTTACCCACACAGCTGCTGCTGAAAGGTCCACTCCCAGCACAGGAACTTGACACGACAGAGCGCGAGTGAACGTGAAAGAGCAGAGAGTGAACGGCGTCGAGGCCTGCAGTGAATTTTACACCATTGCTGTGACACAGACTGTACTCAGACGAGGAACCGGGTGCATGTGAGGACAGATGAGCGAAGGCTAACTGTCTCCTGTGATGAGTTATGAAAGGAGGGTACGGCCGTGATGTGAGGACGTGCGTCCATCACGGAGCAATAACTCAGTCTAATGCGGCTTTCAACACTCTACGTGAACGTGCACATGTACATGTACAGTCATGGGCCGTCGCACAAACAGCCACAGCCACAGCCGACAGCGTCTGCTCTGTCACATGCTCACAGCTGTCCAGATAATTTCATTTGTGCAGAGCCTTCTAAAAGGATTACATGTTTCACTGTGACACTGTTGCAAGCAAGCTGCTCACCCAGTACCTACCCCCCACCCCCACCTCACCCTAAGCCATCATCACCCCCCAACCCCTGTAACCACGACAACGTTCCAAATCAATTGCAGCTTTAGGATTAATCGTGAAAGCATGTGATCTGTGCTGTTACAAAGAGTCTTCACACAGAGACACGTTTCTTCACGTAAGGCTGAGTTTTTCAATCAGAAGTTAAAGAGTTGTATCAATTGGCCGACAATGTGTGCTTCCTTCTGTGTGCAAGTCATTTCTATGGACCTCAGTAACAGAAGCAGTTAGAAGAAGTTATAGCAGATATTACACAGATATAAGTATTACTATAAGTTATGCAAAACATAGAGCGGCCTTAACTTTTTAATTTCTACTTAAAGGTATAATATAAGTGTGAATTGCTATTTGAATGCCCTGGTCTACTCAGTTTAATATCACAAAAATAATTTAAAAAACATAATATACATGAAGTAGATAGTTTAATAGTAATAGTAAGAGTAGTAATAATAGATTAGTAACTTTTCTGTTGTGTCTGTATGTGTGTGTGTGTGTGTCTTACTCAGACTGCTCAGCTGACGAATGATGGCAGAGAGCGTGTTGTTCATCACACACTCCAGCTCACTGCCGATGCCTTCTGGCAGCTGCCCTCGGCAGAGGTGACGAGGCTCGATGTTCCTCTTTACCAGCGGCATGGTGAGGCTTCACACCGACACAAACTAGAGGGAAAGACGGGGGAGGGGAGAAAAAAAACAACAGTTTTAGACAGTAAGTGATGAAGAAACCAGGTGTTGCAAGCATTGAGCCAGAGGTTGAACCCCAACCACCTGAAATGTCTCTGTACAACTAGGACACACATATAATAATCTAGATACAGTATAATTACATAATACAGTACTACACAACAACAGAAAGTGAATGAGGAAAATTAACTTTACTAATTACATTATAAGCCTCTAGTGGCCCACACCTGGTGTCCAGATTGTGGTCCACCAACACCATCCTAAGTCACATGAGCAAGGTGAATTTGTTGGCTTAAAAAAATTAAAAAATTAAAAAATATATATATGTATGCATATATACAGTATATATATATTAAATGTAATATATATTATTGTAAAAGTGCCATAACTGATTTTTTCAGTCATGTCCCTGTATAAGATGTGAGGAAAACAGTAGTTTAGTTTGTGTCACTGCTGTTAAAATGATACTGTAAAATGTACTCTTGCTCTGCTTTAATCTTTTGTATTACTTTAGATAACAAAAAACTAAAAGGCACAGCTCAGAACCAACAATGAAGACCAACAGTGTCCAAAAGCCAGAACATTTGTGGCCAGCACAAATTAGGGCATTAAGGATTAGGAAGATACAGCATGCCAGCTAATCCCAGAGCAGCTTGTCACTGCACCAGCTGGAACCCCGACACAAACAGAGATTTGTGGATATGATCGCCACCAAACACATATGGGCAACAGTTGTTGGGAAACAAGGACGTGAAGAATCCACACCAATAAATTAATCCTTCATCACTTCTTCCGGATGATTCTGTTGTACAAACGGAGACTTTGATAGCCAAAGCTTTTGTAGTTTCACAGATCATTTCAATTAAGACAAAAATCCATTCAGTGGGTTCAGTGGAGCAGCCGGCTTATCAGCTCTTCTTCCTGCTTCCTGTTTTTATGCTCTCAGTCCTGCTCCTGTTTCCTGGTCCTCCCTGTGTCACATCTTTCCATCCTGTCCGAACACTTGGCCAAAACAATGTAGCTGGGACTTAAGAAGCAGCCGGTAGGACGTACAGTACAGAGACAGAGGCAAATACACACACACACTCGTTCCAATAAATGCATTCATATTATTCTATGGCAAATTTATTCATCTTTAAAAAAAAAAAAAAAAAACAGTTCCAGAGTTTTGCCGGTGCAGCTACTCTGACAAAATCCCCATCACTTCAGAGTAGAGCAGCTTGGGAGGACGCGTGAGCTCTGGCAGTCCAACAGAGAGCTAATAATAGTTGACAGGTACAAGAAACACTGCTCTCATTGTCTGGGATTTGCACATACTTTTAATGAGCAATTGAAACTCTAGGCTATTTTTAATCTGTCCTAAAAAAATAAAATATTAACATTTCTGTCAACTTCAATATCCATCATTATGTCTTAATATTCCCAAAAGAAAAATAACGGTGCAGACTACAAACCTAAACATGTAATTTGACTCATTACTTTTAGTTTTTTATTTTTATTATTATTTTATTTTTTATTTTTATTTGTCAGGTCAAAGGTGAGAGAAAAAAAAAAGACCAACTAATGATACAAACTACCCAAAAACAAGAAGTGATGTAACATAAGCTCTGCAAAGTTGGAAAAAGGAAAGTTTCAACTGCAGTAAAGTCTGCGACTGACAGTTGACTGACAGAGACTGTGGACTGACTAATAATGTTGAAGAAATCAGTTCAAGCCACTCATAATACTATGAGTATCAACTAAAAGCAATCAGCTTTTTGACATATTTTTCTTCACTTTTTCCTATATGGATATTTCCAACATTTCCTTCTTTACATTCAGGCACTATACAGAAAAAAAATGTGTCATATTGTCATATTTATTTAATCTAGAGTAATCATGATTTATCACAATTAATCCACAGATATATACAAGTTAAAGTGAATCAGTGTTTTGTCTTTGCAGGAAACCACTTTAATTACAGCCGTCCATGACATGGACAAAAGACACGTCTGAGCACTGAGGCCAATCACCATAATCCCACTTCCCATCAGGCCCTGTTTCCTCAGCTTCAGCAACCCCCCCACCCCCCGTCAACCTCAACAGCCTGTCGTCACCGAGAGCAAAAACACACGAGTGAAATTAAAATGAATGCAATGAATACAGTCAACAAGGTCTGGTTTGGAGCAGTCGGAATTTGGACGGCTGCATAAACAGAGCGCAAAGGAAGTGGGAATGATGCAAATGAGGAGATTGCATGTTTTTGCTTTTACTGTCTGGCAGGGATGACAATCACATCAATGAGGCGGAATAATGAGGGGCTGCAGGGGAGAGGGTGGATGGGAGAAAAGAAGGGGAAAGCAGAGGCAAAGGAGAGTGAATGGAAGAGAGGGAGAGAGGGAGAAACAAGAGTGAAAGAGGGAGAGAAAACGGTGAGAGAGGAAGTAGAGAAAGTGTCTGAGGGAGAAAAAGAGGGAGAGAGAGAGAAAGAGAGAGTGGTAAGACAGAGGGTGAGAGAGAACCAATTGAGACATAAGTGTGATAAGAGCGTGTGACAGAAAAGAGTGAATGAAGAGACAGAGAAAACGTGGAGGTGGACAAAGCCTGTGTGTGTGTGTGTCTCTCTCTATGTGTATGTGTTTGCATATAGGAAGGGGGGAAGGGTAGGAGAGCAGGGACCTCGGGGAAGCCACTGAAAAGGTTCCCGGGACAATAGAGCTGCGTTCACAAGGCAACAGCACAGAGAGAACCATGCATCCTCTCCTCCTGCTCCTCCTCCTCCTCCCTTTTTCTGCTTCAAAACCTTCTTTAAGGCCCCCTAAACTTTTTGAAAACATAAAAAGTAGGAACTGTTTCTCCATCCTCTAGACACCCAGGGGGGAAAAAAGAGAAGAAAACCACCACCGTAACCACAGCAGCTGCAGCGGGGGCAGAGAGCAACACCTCACATGTTCATTTCTTATGCTTCACAGTTGTCCTGCGTTACGATGAATTACTGCAGGCCCAGCATGCACATGGAACATGTAAGCACTCACACAAACAAACATGCGCAGAAACTCTGGGAGGCGTCTCAGGTTTCCCATTAGCAGCGTTTTAACTGTCAATTCAGCAGCAAAAATGCCTTTGATCCTCACAGTGCACTGACACTCAGGGCTGCGTTCACTTCCTCCTGTAACTCCATCCTCCTCCGTGAGATGCCCATGTCTGTGATCCTCAGAGGCAGCCGAGGCCTTTACTACAGACCTGAGAACTCCATTAAGACCTGAGAGGGGAGTCATTAACAATTTATGAGCTCGGTCCAGCAGCTCCTTGTGTTGCAGCCTGTGTTTTGCTTGTTCCAGTGATCTGAATAATGCAGCTTGGATTACGTCAGGTCACACTGGCCTAAATATCATCTTAAAAAATTTCTGCTGTAATAGCGCTCCTGTCCAGGAACACAACCTTGTTCTGGACAGCTTGCATTGCACTCAGACTGGGGTCATTTTTGATTGTTTTCGGAGAACTCTGCAGAGGTATTCCAGCACATTCTCCCCCCTACATTTGGTGGCCTTCTGGCACGGAGCTTGGTCCTCTTTCACTCCACAAAATTTCTATAAGATTTAGGTCAGTGCTTTGTGCAACCCAGCCAATAATTTCAACTCCGGTCTTTTGATGAGGGCTCTTTACCAGCTTAGAAATGGGCTTCAAGTTGTTGTCATGTCGAAAAACAACAATTTCTTTCTACTCTAGTTCTAAATAAAAATCCCCAGAGCATTTTTAACCAGCTCAGTGTTTTACTGTGAGGATGGTGTCATTTGGGTTCCATCTCTCACTTTTTCCTCCATACATTGGCAGCAACTCTTTTTTCAAATACTTGCAGTTTTGTCTAATCTCTGCAAATGACATACTTAAATTTTGTCATCTTTCTCTAAGATTTATTTTCTCCAGACTCTCTCTTTAGCTGATGTGAAGGTTTTTTTCTTTATCTGCAGTCTTACAGCCAATTATGTGCAAGACTCTATTGACTGGATTTTTGACATTTTAATTCTGGATTATGTCACTCTAGTTTTATGGCTATGTATTATATGATAGATGTCTTGTTTTATTTTCTTCTCGTTCCTTTGCACCGCTAGTTTTCTATTGATTTCTTTCCACTCTGTCTAGACGGCTTTTTAAATGTCTCAGCACCGCACCTCTAATCTATCTGATGTGAAACGTGATTTCCTGAGAACTGAGTGGATTTACCTTGCCTGAGGACAGCATTATAAATTTAAGCTTATAGAGCTGAAAAAAATTAAAAGGACTGTTTCTTTTTTAACTTAAATGAATGATAGGTAAAGATGTAATGTTAATGTATTTAAATGAATCTCTTAATGGTAATTAATTAAGACTATTTTATTCTTATAATTTGGTCCACCTCCATCAGTACATTACACAACAGAGTCACAGCTAATCATGATGTCTTAACATTCTGATCATGTGTTTTTTAATGCGGCTGAGAAATAAGTAATTATACACTTATTGCTAAAGCATTGTACTTAATACAATGTCCTTATTTTTCCCATGTGTGACATGTACATTAAAAAAATGTGCAAAACAACTGAAGTGACAGGTGAAAAACAAAACAAAAGATAGTTTAAAATATATATTAAAATAAATCATGAAATGATAAACTTTAGCTTCTAGAGCTGAAAGTCTGGTTGAAGACTGAAGCCAAGAGGAGGCTAGAAAAAATACTAACAGTAGATAACGAAAAGTTAAACAAATAATACTAGAATATAAAAACAAACAACTTTGAAAATAATAAGAATAATAAGAATAAGAATTATTATTCTTATTATTCCTATTATTTTTATGAAACAAACTAAACTGCAGTTAGCTTAACAATTAGCTTAGAAAATTAGCAAAATAACCGTCAAATGAAATTAATAACTGAACATAAATGAAAATTACTTAAATACTTAAATTTTCTCTTCTATTAACGGAACGGCTTAACATATGAAATTTATTCTTGTACTTACATTTAAATTGAGATACTTTGTAGCGTCTTCTATCTAAACATTTCTACCTAAACCACTGACACACGCGCACGCGCACACACACACAAAGATCAATCAGTGTTCCGCACCGTCGCTTCCCGTTACTGATGGACTGACCCACATCTGTTCATCTACATCACATTGACTTCACTTTCAATCTCTCTTTAAACCAACGTCAAATGTGTCCAGTCCCAGTGTCTCACAGCTGATTAAAACAACCAGAAACCAATTAAAACCATTCATAAAAATAGAAAACACCAAAAGTGCCTGATGCAGAGATTTAAACAGCAAACAGGTTCCTGCTTCATTATTGTCCTCCTCTTCTCTAAATGACCACTCCGTTAGCCGCAGCTAATGTCCAGTCAGTTCGACTTCTTAGTTCGGACAAATAAGACTCGGGACTGGAGAATAAACGCACACTCTACTCACATGACACAGTGCTGTGCGAAATCGTCGTAATAAAAAGTGCCATTAAAATTCTCACCAGTGTTGGAAATATTAGCAGATATCAGTGCGTCCGCATGTCCCGTTGCATACTCCTATTAGCTCTGTCATCCTGTGTGTGCCCCCAGCCCGTCTGGACACTCCAGGGAGGAATAAAACCCTTTGAGAAAAGGAACACGCCCATACGGCGCATTGACCAATCAGAACGCAGATTAGGGGATCGCTTGTTTGACCGACGTTTGCATGAGCTAATAGCATTCCTCAGGAAGAAGACTGACAGGGACCCATAATATCTGTAGTAAACCGAGTGGGCGCGGCTACAACTGGGCGTTGCTGAAGATGAAGATTAACGGGATGATTATTTCCCACAGCTAAGTCTCAAACACAACTTGTCAAAAATAATAGAGGTTATAAATTAATTTTGTGGCTCGTGGGGGTATGGTTTTTGTTTTGTTTTTTGCAAAGAGATACATTTGAAAAGCGGATAATAGCTGCAAATTGGGAGCTTGGGAGTTGAAACAGCGTTTGAGGCTGATGCTGAGAAAGAGCATTGGTGGATGGTATTGTATAACAGACTGAAATAGCTGGGCCAGCATCCTTCCTGTAGGAAGAGGCTCCCTGAGAGGATTTGCTTTATATAGATGCATGTTTATCTTTCAGGTGCCTTTGTAGATGAAAAGTCATTTAAAATGATCTATGATCATAGTTTAGAACCTTTAGTTCCCCGTTCAACCTTTTGTTCTCCGAGAGCTGCTTTAAGAATATAAAAATGCTACTTCTTCTTTGTAGTAGAAGAATCACAAGCGGTGGTTATGTATGTCAGGACAATATCAGCAGCTGTTTGGGCTAAATAAAAAAATATAGACGTACTGAACTAAATTAAGTACTTTTTCAAGCTTATTGCGATGCACTTTCAATATTTCAGGAGAAGTGTTACAGGAGAGTACCTTTAATGAAGTCAATGTGAGATTCTTCTTTTGTTATTGGCGTCTCATGTAAATTATCCTTCATTTTTACTTCAATTTTCTTAACGTGGATTTGTTTTATTGATATTTATGTGTTTAAATGTATTTTGTACACCAATATAGGCTTCTTTTTTTTACACAATATATACATACACACATATACGTTTTATATTGCTACTGGTTGGGTGTAAAAATACAGCCAGGAAATCCTTGGCATTCAGCCAATGAACCTGCCTTCAAAAAAAAAATTAAAAATTAAACAGTGAATGGACTGTTGACAAGCTTTAGTGAATTGCAGTTTTCTAATTGAAATGCATTTTCATCCCTGGACAAGGGCAATGTTGAAAGCCTGCATACATTATAAAGCTTTCTGTTTGTCATATATTATTGATTGAACATGAATAGTAAATACTAGAGCATGTGTGACAATAGAATAATGTGAGTAAATTGCAGTGTCAACTGGCTTTGCAAATTTGTGAAGAACGTTGGAAAATCCCAGTGTATCAACAATGTCAAGGTTTCCATTTTATTGTCAGGATATTTGATTCATGTAAAATATTTCAATACAATACAGTACAATGCATGATCCATCTGCCATCCTCCATGCCAGTGGTTGGTTTGTGTCGTCAGGATGTAAGGCTCGCCCAAAAGCGTTGAGCAGCTGAGTGTTGGGGCAGCGAGCTGCTGTGCCATTCGTTCCATGAAAACAAAACCATGAAAACCGATTAAATTAAAAACTACTAAAATCTTTTTTGTCATCTTTTTAAAGTCGGAACGAAACGAACAACAAAGAAAACCCTCAATGCCACAGCTGTAAGGTCTCCATTTCCTCCCAGCATGCTTCACAGCAGCTCAGGTCAGTCCTCAGCTGAGGCCCTCATGGGGCCACACACACACGCTCTCATTCCCTCCATCCTTCACACACACACACACACACACACACACACAAAATAGACAGACAAACAGGAGGACAAGGAATCTGTCAACGCTGGCAGTCAAATAGCAGCTTTCAGTCTCATCCAAGCTTTGACAGGAAGAGGGTAAGTAGTTGGGACAGGATGTTGGTGAATGCGTGGGACAGATGAAGAAGACGTGAAAAGGTGAGGAGATGACACCGTGTGATCACCACGTGCTCCTCAAATCCAGCCCATCTTCTCCGGGCTGGTCCGATCACACGTGAACAGTCGAAGTCGCAGCTTTCTTCTCCCCCTCAGCCTCCCTCCCGCCTCATGTGTCACCTGTTGGCTTTTAGTGATGTTTCTAATACTGGGGGTCGTGGTGAGGATTGAAGATTATTGTCCTTCTGCTCTGACAGACTGCTGCAGACAAAGTGCCCTCTGAGAAGGGGTGTGGGTGGGATTTGTTTTCTCCCCCATATTCCCTCAGTACATTCGTTCAGGTGGGCGTGGTGAGGACTGAGTATGGGGGTCGTAAGTGTGCGTTGTGTAAGTGTTGGTGGTATGTTTCAGTAGCGATGGGTCTGATGGGAGTACTGGGGCGGTTGCTGGGAGGTAGAGGAATATCCCATGCTGCTTTGGGGCAGTGATGTGCTTGGTCCAGGGTTCTGGTAGGCAGCATGTGGATTGGAGCGCTGTGAAGATTAGAAATGTTTAATCTGATTATTATCAGGGCAGCCCTGGATGTATCATGATTAATTTGATCCTAACTATTTGAGATTAATCTTGTTTATTAATTTAGATAAAAAAATTCCAGGCTTGCAGAACCTGAAGTTGAAGACCTGCGTTGCTACTTGTTTAATTAATTGACATAGCTACATTAAGATACAACAAATACGCCCACTGGGCACCTGCTGCTGCTTTTGAGGCCAAATGTTCTGGACTACAACGCTCACATGTTGTCATGTTGAAGCCAAGACTCTTCTCCACACCCTGTTACTGAAGAAACAAAGGTGGAGCTCATTTGTCCTGTTCTCCATGGAATTACTCACTCAATCAATCATTTGATTGTCAGGTACCAATTGAACTGAACTGAACATGTCTCCTAAGGCTAAATGCCAAAATGATGACATTTATTTCCAATGAACCATCACAACAAATAAGAACAAGTACAACTGAGACACACTAACTTTGAAATGAAAAAAAAGTGTCTAATCTCATTACAGAACATCACATATTTGATGATTTATGGAGCCCTTCCTGGTCAGCAAGTGGTACTGCAACCAATGTTATTTAATATGATTAGTGTGTAGCTACTCGGATTTAATAATATTTCTTCACCAACATGTCAACAGCTGGAAAACCAACAGGAAACCGCTCAGTAGTGTCCACTGAACAAAATATGTTAAACAGTCCAGTTGTACTGGACTTAACCGCACACATGTAGAGGTTCTGAGTGGGTGACCCACCTGGTAGTCTGAGGTCATGATGAGGCCACCTGAGGTAGTGGTGGGCGGAACAACTCGTACTTTTTTCAGAGGCGGACCCTGGGCATGACTGTTGTCAGGGTTGCCTGTGTGCCCCGCTCCATTTGTGTGGTTGTTTCCCTGTTGCTGCTGCTGGTTCTTCTGCAGGGCGAAAAAAACAAAACAAAACACTGTATCAGTTTGACTGCATGACTTTTTATAGAAACAACATCTGGGAAATGGATTTCCTACTTTGTCGGCCTTGTCCTCTGGTTCCTCCTCTGTCAGGAACTCTCTTTTGGGGTATGGGATCTGACAGCCTGCAAAAACACTGGAGAAAAACAAGAGCAAAAGAGCTCTGTTACCATCAAACGTTCAACAATAACTGGAAGCTGAACAGACTGTGGAGCACACACTAACAGAGGTCTTTTTTTTACTTTTCTGACACTCTTCCACTCTACCCAATATTTCTGTCAATACTATATTTATATTCTCTCTACTACCCGTCGTCTTCTGTTGCCGTTTCCTGTGTCCTACCCGCCCTCATTCATCAGATGTCGGCAACACGGTCAGTAATCAGTTCATACCACCTGATTCCATGCGGATTTGAGCAAGAAAATCCAAACATGTTTGAATGACCAAGACTGAGGTCAGGTCAGGCCAGCTCTTGCAGATTTGCGTCTTAACCCACACACGTGAACAGATTTATAAACAAACTATTTATGCCGAGTGTCCACAAAAAAAGTGCAGACTTTGCCCCACTGGGAATCGTGGGAAAACTCTGGCCTCAGCTTAAAGATACAAAACTGGTGAACAGAATACAGATGAGACTCACTCAGACGTAGGCAATGGCTCCTCCAGAAAGTAAGGGTCCTGCATGGCCTGCTCAGATGTGATTCTACGGATGGGGTCCATTGTCAACAGCTTCTGCAGCTGCAATCAATTCCAATAACAGTGTTAGCATTTAGCTGGAAATGTTTTATGGGAGTGGTGTAATGTCAAGACCAGCTTCATTTAGCACAGAAAATGAATTACGCTTTGTTTAAATGCTATGCGAGGAACTTTTTACAGCTCCATTACTGAGGCATTTAAACTCACCAAGTGGAATGCTTTGCTGTCAGGTTTGACTTTATGTTTTTCCATGTACTTAATAAGGCTGCAGTTTGTGTACCTGAAAACAGAAGAGCAGATTTGTTGTCAGATTTCATAGTTTTCTATTTACATTTAGAGGAAAACTGGGATAGTAGCGTTAAGCTCACGTGTTTCTCCTGAAATCTTTCATCAGCGTTGAGTGTTCTGGCATCTTTTTGATATCCTCCCAGTCTTTATCTGTCAAATAAATATGGGAACATCTTACCATTTAATCCTTTCACATCTTCTCTTTCCTTCTTGTTCATTTTAAACACACGAGCCCTTTGGTGCTGTTAGGTATTACAATTTTGATCTCATGCTAAATTTGCTGAATTACTTCCTTGTCTTTAAACCTCCCTGCATACATTAAAAATGCTGGTGAATTTTTAAACAGAGCACCAGAAGTGAAGCATAAGGAGGAAAAGGGAACAGAAGCAGCTCAAATGAACTGGAAATTATCGGCCCAAATGTCAACATTTCTGTTTGTGACTTTGGCTGTTGGTGAATTGATGTTCAGAGCCCACAGGACACACTGGCCCAGATAAGCAACCTTTAGTAACAAATACATGTTTATAGTACTCCTTTTAACAGGGAATGGAAATAGAAGCATGATATATTTATATAAGTGACAATTATTAGAAAATATACTGGGGGAAAAAACATCCCGAGTTAAAAAAAAAGCTGTATTCTTTTGTATTTTTTTTTCCCACCCCCCAGTCTCACCAGCAGGGAAGCCCATGACATTAAAGATGCGGTCCAGTTGGTCATGGTGGTAAGGATTACTGGTCTTGATATCTTCCTGGCGACAATGGAATATGGGCTCCGACGTCAGCAGCTCTGCAAAGATGCAGCCTATCGCCCAGATGTCTGCAGCGGCACAAAACAACATCAAACCGTCAGTCAAGCAAGAAGTGAAAGTTGAAGTTTACTGAAGTTGACTTGACAAAGAGGCTGGGCATAAAAGTAAAAACACAGATCTCACCAATGGCTTTGGTATAATGCCGAGCCCCCAGCAGCAGTTCAGGTGCTCTGTACCAGAAAGTGACCACCACAGGGTCGAGATCGGCTAAAGGCTTCAGTGGTGAATTAAATAGACGGGCAAACCCCATGTCAGCTGAAAAGGAAAGAAGTGTAAATTCACTCACTGATTCAAATACATAAACAACTTTATGAATTTAAAATAAAACATTATACACACCAATTTTTACTCTACCCCTCTCTGGCCCTTCACCCATCACTAAAATGTTGGCTGGTTTCTGTTGGGGAAAAGAAAAGAGACATTTGTTATTTCATACAAGCTCCTACAGAAAAAAAAAATCAACTCAAGTCAGTAGATCTGTTTGTTCAATTCACTGGATAAAGTCATGCAAGTCATGTACTGTATATTCAAAGTTATGCTGCTACCCCCTAGTGGTGTATTACAGTACATTATCGTAGTGGGGGTCGACTGTGTCCATGCCACCACAATGACTCAGGGAGACAAAGGGAGTTTAAGTTTCCTCAGATTTCCTGGCCACAATGAAGTTGATGAATTATTGTCTTAACACGCTGACACAGCTGTTTTGATGATGTGCTATTTAAGGCTAAATCTACAGAAGTGTCTTAAGTAAAATAAAACAAAGACTTTGGTTCTGCAGAAATGAGTCACTGCAAATTGAAATGAATGATAACAACTGTCAATGCAGAGCTGCTGTATAATTACATAGAACCTAGAGCTGTAGCTGACGTTTGTCAAACCTGTTATGAAACATGACTAGACACAGACTGGAAGTGTTTCACCAGTTCTTCTCAGAGTCTCTGCTGAAGATCCACTGCAGGCTTTTATCAACTGTTTTTAACCTCCTTTTCCTTCTCCCAAAATATTTCCACCTCCTCTTGTCATGCCCCCTCCCGCAACCCCCACCCACCCTCTGCCCCCACCCCTCATCTTACAAGGTCTCTGTGGAGAACCCAGTTGGCATGGAGGTAATGGATGCCATCCAGGATCTGGTAGAGCAGAGACTTCACCATTCCTCTAGGCAACTGCAGTGGCTTCTTGTTAGCCTTGGATGCTCTGTGAAATTTAATAATGTGCTGTGGGGGAGACAAAATAAATAAACAGAATAAGCGACATGCCCTTCTTCTGGATTTGTATAATAACAAATGTAATGTGGCACTGCAGGCAGCATCAATGAGGCCAGTGTTGGTGGCCTGTTGAACCTCTGTGGAAAAACTACACAAATGTTGGGGAGAAGAACAACTTCTTGGTGACACAAATGAGCTCTGGGGAATTAGCAACATGTCATTTACACCTTTAGGATTTAGCTACTTTGCAGATGGAAGATAGGAAATGTGAGTGTATACATATTGTAATACGTCAATCAAAAGCTCCTTTTTATCCATGTGTTACTAAACACTGTTTGGATTGTGTCAGAGGCATTTATTTCAACATTTATTGAAAATACACGAATTACAAAGATTTTTTGGTTGAGTCCGGTGTGTGTAATTTACCCAGAGATCGTGTTCTGCGTAGTCAAAGAGCAGCCATACTTTACGGTCTGCGTGTGACAAGAAAACCTTCTGCAGTGAGATGACGTTGGGATGCTTCAGCTCCCGCAGCAGCTGCAAATATATAAACATATACTGAGCATCAACCACTTCACATACTGCACAAAGATCAAGTTCAGTGCAATAAGTAAAAATGCCCTTTACAACAATGTCAAAAGCTTTGCCTGTTTCATTATGACATTCGTGTCTTGATGCTTTGTCATGTCTGTTACGGACTAAACAAAAACTAATTATTAAGTGACAGCGAGGTCACATATTGCATGAAGCACCCAGGAATGGAATGAACAGTGTTCAAACAGTAGAGCCAAACATTTCTTACTGCAATCTCTCTGCAGGCTGACATGGAGATGCCAGTGCCTTCAATCTGCTTAAGGGCGTAGTCCTTATCATCCTTCCTACAAACACAGAGGCAGAGAATGATCAACATCAAACCAGACTGGGGGCCTCCTGAGAGAGGTCTGCATAGAACCATAAAAAGGGGTGGTGGTGGTGGTGGGGTATTTGGCAGCTGGCACAGGGACTAAGGAGAGATGGACTTGTATTACCTCCAGATTTGTGTAATCAAGCTCACCTCTGAGAATCAAAATAATAGAGAGGGAGAAGAAACAGACCTGCTCTGGCAGCTGGCGAGAGACAAACAGAGCAGAGGGACTGACTCTCACTTGAATGAATCGGTTCCAACCCCTCCCTTTGGCCTAAATCGTCTCATAAACCCAAGCTTTGTGCCTCCTCGGGTCCTGATCAACTGCAGCAGGACAAATGAGCCCAGAGTCTGAGAAACAGCAGCCCCCCACGAAAGACACAAACATCTTTTAATCACTTTGAGGTTCTGCTGACTAGTTCCAGGTGACACTCTGGCTGAAATATTGGGCTTGCTAGCATGAATTCCACTCCTTGACTATAAGGCTTAACAGAGTCAAAATGTTATGAGTGGGCAGCATTTAATATGGCACTACAAATCAAATATATTAAGTAATACATTACATTGTTTATGTCACTGAGAGGCCACAACATTAAAATCTTGAAAAGAAAAGTCAGAATTTTGCATTTATGCAATCAAACCATTTATCTGATTTCTGGTCTGTAGACACAGAACAGAAAAAAAACTCAAAAGGTTATGGGCAGACAGGTCCCAGATGTACTTTAGAAAATTATTTTCCTTTAACACTAACCTGCCGCTGCATCATAAAAGGACTTCTTAAGAGTATGTGGTGCAAAGATGACGCCATGCATGAATTAAATTAAATAAAAGCATTGTTGAGTTCAATGATGCCAAGTTAATTTGTGATGGAACAGAAGAAAAATTTGTTTTTTGATGGAAAAACTTTTCATGTGTCACAGATGACAAAACACATCAGACTGTTTTCAGCTAAAAAAAATAACATTTACTGTTTTAAGTTCTTTTGTAGCAAATATAGAGCTTAATGGCACAATCAAAAAAACTGCAATAAATAACATTATAAATTCTCATGAGAAATGTTGAACCAATGTCAACCAAAAAGTGTTGAATTTGCACAGACAGAATGAGGCCATCACTGTATTACACACATCTGTTTTGCAGTACTTTAAGACAGAGTTAGCCTACTTATCCTACTTTAAATTTGGGTTTGTATGTCAGAATAAAGAAAAATAGGACAATAAATGCACAGACACAAAGGAAGTCTGTTTTCTTTGACAAAAAAGTCCATGCACATGCCAAACACATCGTTCATTTGTTTGCATTTTAAAATTCAACAAAATAGTTTTAGAAACATAGAAACTGTTTTGGAGAAATGTACATTAGGTATGAAACTTTTTCTGCGAGTTCGTCACATGCACCTGCTGTGTCATATATTCAACATACCCCCTACTAAAACTGTCAATTTATCTAAGTAGCACAATTTTAACAACATGAGGATCAGGGAGGCAGGGGACCTTTTATCATCCAAATCGCAAATCCAAACATTATGTCAGAGCCTTAGTAACCGAAAATCGGATTCACCAGGCTCCTGACACTGCAACGTTTTCGGTTGCGTTGCTATTTCTCTAATAAAATATACAACAAGGATCTCCCGCTCCAGTGGTCTTGAAAAGAGAAAATGGTAGGAGTAATTAAAATAATTTTGTAAAGGGAGGGGGTGCGCAGGGTTCACGGGCTGGAGGCCTTGCTGTTCATCAACTCACCCATCTTTTCTCTTGGCTTTGTACACATGACCGTAGGTGCCTCTGCCCACTTTGCATCCTTCATACTCGAACAGGTCCTCGACTCGTTCTCTTTCGCCGGTCAGCTTGACTTTAAAATCATAGTCCATTTTCACAACTCTTCGGCCTGAATAGATCTGCTCCTTCCTTTTAAAGCGTCGCTTTGGGAGGCAACTAAAGCTACTCCAACGAGCTCGCTTTGGTAATTCAGCTAGTTGCCTTCCCCAGCGTGGCTGTTTTTAATCTTTAACCCAGCTTCCACATCGAGCCTTTTAGTTAATAGTTGAGGTGCCGGCGGTAGACGCAAGGAGTCCGGGTGGAAAACGTGCTAAAATTATAATCCGTTCTCTTGTTGCTGCGTTTCCCCTCAGCCGGTATTTGCTCCAAAGAGACGCACTTCAGTCGGTAACGAAGACGTATTGGCGTACGGCACTGTCGCAAAACGTCGTGAAGACCTCCCTGCTGCAGAGAAAGAGATCCAGAGAATGGTCAGATAGAATACACCACGTGGATGTTTATTCCTAACAAAAACAGTGCTGTTGTGTCGTAGACGTCAGTTATATGTATTTAGTGATGGAAAGAAATGCACTTTATTATCAAACACTCCAAATTTCAGTTCTTAAATTTTAATTTTAAATTTTCCACGCTTAGATTTTTAGTAACTTGCTTTCGTATATCTTTCTTTCCTAGTAAATTAAATTAAGTAAAAAGTTGGACTAACCGATTGCGATGTTAAATAAAACATGTGTAAACATCACAATTACTATTATATACGTACAATAAATAAAACAAGACAATTATTTAGATAATTGTAAACACGTCACACAGTGACTGGAACACTGGAAATAATATGGACTTAAACATACAATCAGTTTCATTTAGTTTTTCATATTTTCTTACATGTTAGCGACTGCTCACAATCAATTATGTTATCTTTTGACATAATTAAACAGTGTTTGATTGAATTCAATTCCAACGCTGATAGAGAAATGTGACGTTTAAAGCTGAGATGCGCACAGTTCCAATGCAAGAATTATTTAAAATCCACAATCTTTTTTCCACGCAGTATTTCTTCTGTTGAGAATAACCCCGAGATAAGATTAAATTAGGAATCAATTAACAATCCCCGAATTGTTTAGTAGAATTCCCATATAAATAACGGTTTAATTGCTTAAAATATTATTGCTGTACTATTAATATGTACCGTTTTTATGGGGGGGGAAAGCACAAACTAAAAACCTAAACAAACACTGATAGTTGTTTTGAGCACCTAGGAACTTTGGTCGGTAGGAAGCTTGTTTTTGAACGGACGTTGTGACGCAGCACCTCTGGTCCCATCTTGGTTGGAGAGAAGGCAGGGGAAGGCAAACCGTCCATATTACCGCTGCTTTGTCAGGTACTACATTTCCTTTTATGTCATTGTCAGCTTTTAAGAAATCGTGTTCGATTTGCGTGTCAGGTTTCGCTTATTGTGGGTGCTTGTTAAATCCGTCTGTCATGTAGAAATCTGTAAAGTTACAGTCTTGCTGCTCGCTGACGAGTGAGCTCTCACGGCTAACTACGGTCTGCTGCCCGCTATCGTTAGCACATAGTTAGCATTCACAGCGTTGCGCATTCAAAAAGCGGCACGTAGCTTTGTTTTAGCATCCAGAAAACTGACGAATGTATTTGGCTGATGTCACTTGTAACCCATGGCTGGTATTAATGTCTTATGTATTCAGTTTTCTCATATTGCCGTGAAAATGCTTTGTCTTTACTTGTTTGCCCTGCGTTTACATGGAGGGGACCTGCGTTTGGCTTACCCTGGCCCGCCTTTGTTGGTTGGGGATTGGATGTCAGACGCGTCTGTTGGTGTCTGTAGGCCGTTGATTGGCGGCTAACCAGGATGACAACGCCAGTTTCTTTACATTCCAACATGGCCTTCCGTAGCTACTGTTGCAATCTGGTTCGTTGTGATTCTCAGAGGGACTGCGTTGATTAATTGTTAATTGATGTGCCCTTATTGACTTTGAAGTAATTCCAAAATGTTAGAAATTATTTAACTACCGGCGACGTGCTGATAAATTGGGTTAGCATAATGACTAAAGTCTTCAGCCAGTCTCCTCCTCCTGGAGTCTGTGGCTAGAAAATGGATGACAATATTACTGACATCCATTGTTATATTTAAGCAAAAATAATACCAATGTGATCGTACGTTTCCGAGGTAGTCTACATATTTGTCCCAGTGTCAAATTAAGTCAATAACAATGAATACAGGCGTTTATACAGCACTTTTAATGCCAAAGTGACAGATATTTATCTCACAAGTGTTTCCAACTCCATTCACCATATTATTATCTTCAGATCCAGCCAAAGAAACACAATTCCAAAACAAATACTATGTAGTAAAACAAATTAAAAATCCAGACATATGAAGAATAAATGTGATTTTCCACATCAATCAAAGAATTAGTGCCTAGTTGTCCTCTTGTCTTTTCAGCAATATTGGAAGAATTTTAATACTGTTAAGTGTCATTGATGCACCATATATTTTCCACCTAATAATGACCACCTTCACTGTGCTTTATTTGTCACATCCTTTAAAACTGATTAAAAAAAACCTGTGAAAAGCAGGTAAAGAATACAGTTCTTTCTCTAGACAGTGTGTTGAATGTCTAACATTATAATGACAAAATAATGCTAACATGAGCTTTTTAGCCAAGTACATTGTATCAGTGTTATGATTGATGTTAAGCCTGAGTTTAACACATACGATAATTTGTGTGCCAGCACTTTTCACGGTGATGGACCCTCCCGGTGGGGGAGATGAACGACAGAGACAGGCAGAGCGTCTTCGTCGGGAGGAAGCATACTATCACTTCATCAATGAATTAAGTGAAGAGGAGTACCGCTTAATGAGGGACAGCAATTTGCTGGGCACGCCTGGTGAGAAAACATGCTTCCTTTAATCTTAACGGTATTAAGATTATATATACATGTGGCCAAAAATACCCAACCTTATAAAAATATCCAGTATATGTCCGTTTGTGTCATGCAGGAGAGGTGACTGCTGAGTCTGGAGGGTGCGAAAAAGCGGTTGTCCTCTCAGCCACATTCTGAACAACGCCTCCAGACTGCTGATTCTGGAGAACAGCAAAGCAGCAGCATTGAAGGAGAGGAGAGAGTGGATGGAGGAAGACCAGGCACGGGTATTTGAACTATTTCTTACTGAATTTTTCACGTATAAGCACAAAATTTTAATTCCATTAAACTACCTAGATACAGTGGGCATAGTAACATTTCTTTTACATATATATATACATATATGTGCATATTATTAACAAGTAGTTAGTTAGTAAGTAGTAAGTTACTGAGTCTCACCATTTGTTCACACACATTTTTCACGTTCTTATAGGAGGCACAGAGAATGGAGCAGAGGCCTCTAATGGTGACTCCTTACTGGAGTGGCTGAACACTTTCAGACGCACTGGTAATGCTACTCGCAGTGGACAGAGTGGAAACCAGACGTGGCGTGCTGTCAGTCGGACCAACCCCAACAGTGGAGAGTTCCGTTTTAGCCTGGAAATCAACATCAACCATGATCAGCCAGAACCGGGGGAACATACTGACCCTGCAGAGCTTCCAGTGACCGCCCCCATTACAACTTCACCCTTGGTACACAGTGCACCGTCTCCTACGACCCCTCGCTCCTCAGTTATTTCTAGACCAGCACCGTACCCATCCCCACGTCCAGCGCTCAGTAGAAGGATGCAGACACGACGTATGCGCAGCAGTAGTACATCACTTTCTGCGGGTAACCCTGCACTTCCTGCATCTGAGCCATTACCAGCAGCTCCACCAAGGAGAGGTGGTACTCTGCACTCATTAGTACCTCCTGTTGCTGTTGTAAACCTGCCACTTGAACAAATGGATCCTTCCCAACATCAAGCCCTTAACCCAGAAGCAGAGCAGGGACATGATAATGTTACTGCTCCTACAGACTGTCCAAATGTGTCACCCAACTCTGGTTCTCAGTCCCCATCAGTGGGCCAGGAATCACGTGGAAGTCGGACTCGTTCGCGTGGTCGTTCACGTAGGTCTGCTGTAGGGGGCGGTGTCTCATCCCGCTTGTCAAGACGAAGCCGCTCTCCTTTGCACAGAGTACCTGCTGTCACTTCCCCTCCATCCTCAAGCAGTAGTGTCAGTGGCTCTACTGTCCACACCGTTGAGCCGAGCCATGGCATTAGCTCTCTGTCAGTGGTGACCGGAGTGGAGACTGAACCCGCTGTGGTGCCTGAGCCAACGGTAGAGACTGAACGAGAGAACGAATCAAATGTTATAGGAGCAGGAAGTTCAGCAGCCCGTCGGCACCCAACCATCATGTTAGACTTGCAAGTGAGAAGGATTCGACCTGGTGAAAACCGTGATCGTGACAGCATCGCTAGTAGAACACGATCACGGGCACGGGTTGCTGAGAACACAGTCACGTTCGAAAGTGACAGTGGTGGATTTAGACGCACCATCTCTCGCTCTGAGCGAGCTGGGATTCGCACCTATGTGAGCACCATCAGGATTCCCTTGAGACGCATCAGTGAGACAGGCCTGGGAGAGCCCAACTCCACTGCACTGCGCTCCATTTTACGGCAAATTATGACAGGTTTTGGAGAGCTGAGCTCCCTAATGGAAACTGAGGCTGATTCTGGAACTGTTGCACCAAGCCATACGGACGCTATTGGCACAAGTAACACTAGTCCAGCCAGCCGTCTACATACTAATGAGAGTACAGTTCAGATTGGCGCAGGTGGAGAAGATCAGGAAAGGGTGGGGCTATCGGTAGGAGAGGAGGACCAGAGCAGCCAGGCCAGACTACATACTAAGGAGAGTACAGTTCAGATGGGCGCAGGTGGAGAAGATCAGGAAGGGGTGGGGCTATCGGTAGGAGAGGAGGACCAGAGCAGCCAGGCCAGACTTGGAGGAGGAGGATTAGTGAGCACCACAGAAGCGAGGACCACGAGCCGAGACACCAACAACCTTGTAGAAAACGGTACTCTACCCATTCTGAGGTTGGCGCATTTTTTCTTACTCAACGATGAAGAGGATGATGACCATCCTCGAGGCTTGACTAAAGAACAGATTGACAATCTATCCACACGCACCTATGGTCAGGCCAGTCTGGAGGGGGAGATGGGTCGAGCCTGCAGCGTCTGCATTAATGAGTACGCCCAGGGAAACAAGCTACGACGTCTGCCGTGCTCTCATGAATTCCACATCCACTGCATCGACCGCTGGCTCTCTGAAAACAACACCTGCCCCATCTGCAGGCAGCCCATACTCTCAGTGCATCATGACTGAACGACCATCTCACAGAGTTCTCACATTTACCTGGCTGGCTTAACTGAGCAGACCCAATTTGCATGTACATAGCACCTTTGTGTTTTCTTTTTAATATCCATTTTGTTGAAGTGTAAAGAAGGTTAAACCAAAAGTGTGAGATAGGGGGGAAAGGGAACTGTAAATGCAGAAAATTAACAAAAGTTTATTTTTTTAGACTCCTTGTTTTTGAGCGTTTGGCTGGTCTTTAGGCTTCACACGCCCCTGTCAGTGAATGGAACTAATGCTTTCAGAGCTCCTGTGGCTGCTGCTGTTTCCTCTCACTTTAAATTTGTCGTGACTCCACAAAACAATTCTAGAGTTGATTGATTCAGTATAAAGTGTAAATAAGTGACCCTCACCTCTGTTGAAGGTTTCTAAAGATCTGCACATCTGCCATCTGTTAGGATTTTTTTAACATTAGTTCTTTTAGTGCTTAAATGTGCATTTTTAAGGTGTCTCCTTACAGTCGAGAAACCAATGATCCAGTGCAACATTTTTATGACTGATGTATTTAATTTTAAAAATGTCTTTTAGTCAGTCAGTCTGATATTGTCCAATATTGTTTAGGTCTGCTGCACACATCTGTTTAAATAGTAATGCAGTACAGAATACACATTCTCTGAAAGAACTCACCAGAAACGACCAGGACAGAATCATAAACATTATCCACATGAGCAGCACAATCCAAGTGAAATACTAATGGCATGTGATAATCAGAGGAGTTGTAATTATGAATGAGCAGTGCAATACGGAGAGAAGACAGTATTTTGTTTGTTGTTTACATTCTTAATGTCGGCTTATCATCTCACCATCTTTAAAAACGTCTCGTCAAGACTGAAAATTTAAGAGCCCCGTTGAGAACATGGAGGAAAAATGTTAACATCTTTGTGAGATTTTGCAAAGTAAATTTGGAATCTCGCAGGGTAATTGCAATATAAAAAATGCATGTATTTTTGGTCGAGATTAAGTTTGTTGAAACACGATGTATTTATGGCTTTACATTGTATTGTTGCTACAATGTCAAAAAAACAAACTAATTTGATTACAGAAATTTATCAGTTTACAGTTTAAATACTATCAAACCGATAGGAGAGAAAAACATTGGAGCAGATTCCTGTTGTTTATAGGGGATGTCAAACGTCCGATGTGAAGTTATAGGGAAATATAGAAATGTGAAATTCTCAAGGTAAATTTGTAAAATTTGACCTTCTTGTTAATAAATAAAAAACATAAATTAACAAATTGCTCTCTATCAATGAGTATTATTTTAGATTCTATATGTAGTCTAAAGTTTTAGACTAAAGTTTAAATGCTTATCATAACTTAAAAATTTAAATTATTTTTTAAATTTAAATTAAGTTATAAATTATTAAGTCATAGCTTTATATTTTATAACACAGGGTTTTGTCGTGCTGTACCTTTGTACAAATGAAATATTTTTTGTGATATCTAACAAAGATGTTTTTCCCTTCATGTCCCTCCTGGGCTTCTTAGGAAACCTCTTGGTTCTTGCTATTCAGATACACCCCTTACACACACGCAGACACACAGGTTTTTTTTTTTTTACAATTGATTGTATTATTAAGACAGTTTTGCTCATCATTTAGAAAAATTGTGCTGCATTCCATCTTTGAGATGTTTCTGTGAATCCTAGTTTATCTTTAAAAAGTGCATTGTTGGCAGTGTGTGTCAGCTCCATCGCCAACACTGGGGTGTTACTAATAGAACACCACTGTGTGCTCTTTGTGCTTCAGTTTTTCCATGACATCTACATACGATGGCTCTTTTTTATATAGCACAGATGGATTATTTCACTGGACCACCTGCTCTCTGTTCATCCTCCAGGGTCACTTTCTACACCGTCAGTACCAGTAAACAGGAGATGCTGTCACGAAAACACACTGTTGTGTCAGAATGTATGAAAAGTGAGCAAAGTGTGTTAGGATCAATTGTGTATGCATGTGTGTGTGTGTTTGCGGGAATTGAAGGAATGGGTTTGTTTCCCAACAAAGCCCACGGCTCAGTGGCCCCCCCGTTAGGTGGATTTTCACCTCGGAGACAAAAAGGCAGATTCTGGCCACTGAGCGCAGAAGTGAATATTTATTCTGTTCCTATTTAATGAGATGGAAATCCAGTTTTGAAATACTCTGTATTGTTAAGATGTGTGAGAGTAAATAAAACAATTATAATGAATATCATACCAGGAGTCAGTCTGTTTTCAACACAATGAGATCACTGTTTATTGTAGTTCACTCTCAAATACTGCAAATATCAAAAATTCAATGTAACATGTTTTGGTTCCCAGATAAACACCACTGTACATTTTTACCTGGGTTATAAACACAGTGGTGTCTCAAACAGATAGCTCATGTTGCACAGCATTTGAAATTATGTTTTAAGCACAGCCTTTGGTCCAAACTTCAACACTGTTTTTACATAAGGTATATCTGAGTTCAAATGACCAAATGACCTTTCTCCTGACCTAAGTCTTTGGTATGTAGCCATTTTGTCACTTCCTATCAAACAGCAAACAGAACAAATGTATGTACACACTGATATGTTGTCATTGTTGCACCATTTTATCAACCTTTAGCATGTTTGCACGTATAATTTGATCACTTTCAGCTACCAGTGTAGGTTATTTCAGCTCAGTCGTGCATACGCATCTCATCTTCCGATGCGCGCCGCCGTGATTTACCCGGAACTATGAAGCGAAAAAGAACAAGAGCAAAAAATGCTTTTCAAAATAACTGTATTTAAAAACGTATCATTCGTAATTTTACGAAATGAAGGCTTATAAACTCCTTCATTAATGTTATATTCCGCACGGTTAGCAAATTGGTAATTGTTATTCATGCAAAATATGTATTACAACATTTACATATACACAGCGGTTATAGATTGCTTTTAACAACAACACAGCAATAAATATATATGGTTTATTTATTTGCTTTTCACGTGAATTTTAATGCGAATATAAAATATGTATACATGTAAAACCCATGAACATTGACAAACAAGATTTTATTTCCATATGGAAGTCTAACGCCTTACGTAATTACGAGATAAAGAGAAAATAAACAAATAATTATTTCAGGTTATTACACTGTAGTGCAAATTAAAAGTGGAAATGCTCTGTGTTTTCTGTCAATGCGTACCCTATCTCACTTCGTAAAGCTACTTTTTACTTTTATTTTGAAAATAACTTTAGGAAGTGCAGTATGCTCACAGTTCTTTCGACCTGACGCTGGCTGTAACCGTCTTCGTCAACATCACCGCCGCTGTCTAGTATTGAAATAATGTTCGGTGAACAGAAGCAGCATCAGTGGAGGCCGCAGCTGGTCGCTCACGTAGCGGTAAAGGTCCTCTGCTCTGCCGATGAGCCGTGAGCATGCCACCGCTCCGGCCTCCTTCTCTTCCTCCTCCTCCTGCTGTCCTCAGCCTCACTGATACTCCTTCACCAGCAGCGAGATGTATTTCAACCGGAGAGCCAAGAAGATCCACAGCGAGGGAGGTAACACAGAAAACACCTCCGATGTCATTTAAGTCAAGTCACGACTTGTTAATATAAAATGGCGATCATATCATTATTGCTGTAATTAGGCGAAATAAGTGTAAACAGCGGCCTGTGTTTGACCGTGATTGGCATGATAACGGCTCGCGGTAATGGTCTAGGACTGCGGCATGAGTGCCGTCTCACTTTCCGGCCGAGATTCATTATTTTTACGAGGTTTTTTTTTTTTTTTTTTTTTTTAAACCTCCAGTCTTAGTCATGTTTTGGCACTGCCTTGTGATGCAAGGACAAGCAGACTGCAGGTGTCTGTTCCAGTCCGTCTGCCCTTTACTGTTGACTACACACCGCATATATATCAAATATCATCAGTGGAATTATGAATGTAACTTGGATATTGAAGCTATAAACACATTAAGTGTGAGCTTAGCACTAATTTGTTCCATCTATATCCCGTTATATAATGGTTTTACATTCCTCACTGTCTCATACCCAGTTACTTCACCACTTTCCGGTGTATTATCATCGATCACATTAGGTTATTATTATGTAATGGGAGCTTTTGTTGTCGAACGAAGTCAAGTCAAGCTCTTTTAGATCCTAGTCTATTTATTTCTTCACTGACTTAGTGACCACGTGACCCTCTTAAGAGCTCTGACCTCATCACCTGATAGGCTGCCCACGGCCATGGGTGACCTGTAAAAAACATGGTTGAGACACTCGTTCACATGGAGCGTGCTGTTGTGACGCCACAGTTGTACTGTTAATGCTGTGTTTCCCAAATACCGGGTCGTGGCCCAGTAGTAGTACATATGTCAATACAGACAGTGTGGGTACATTCTTATTGGTCGCACTGTGAAAACTCAAGTCTTTCTTAAAGTACTGCTCCGGTGCTTTCAGAAGTTACTAGCTTTATTCAGAGGGCTTCCATTTTTTTCACAATGAATTTATAATTATAATATTATGATCTATTTAATGAGCAAAACCAGAGCACAGGATACTGGTCAAAACCTTTTGATAGAAGTTATAGCTGAGATTTTTTTTCACGTCAAAATACATTAGAATACCTGCCAAGACACGAGAGAACAACTTCCTCCAGCCAAGATATGATCACATGATCACTGATCACTGATCACACGCACAACACGACTCGTCTCATATTCAGAGTTCACAATTATTTTGACAATTAATATTGAATATGTTTTCATGGCTTCCCCAGTAGAAATCTGAGCATCATTTATTTGTTGTCAAAACTGTATTGATACTGACAGTTTACACCACCTTTGGACCCATTAATCGATGGGTCATTTAATTATAAATGACAGATTCATCCATAATACAACAAGAAACAGTTGCAAGATTAACTGGATCCTACACAGAGCAAATCCGATTGGGCAGTCCTAGAAGAGGCAAATGGCTCCTCATGGGTCTGGCACATATTGCATGCCTGCATTGTTGTTGTGGGTGTGCACGTGAGTGTGTGTGTTTGTATGTGTGTTTGGCTGCATAGAGCTTCCAGAAATAGAAACAACTTGTAAGCAGAAGTGAGTGCCAACTGGTCATGCTCTCTTTGGACTAGAGCTTTCCCAGATAGTTGTTTGATTTTTAACTCGATTAAACTGATTGACCTTTTCACGCAGAGGTGTGTCCTGTCCTGTTTGTGTCAGATGAAAGGTCAAAAGTTAAAAAGCAGCAGCAAAATAGATTTTTTCACAGTATGGTGATGAAGAGCACGTTAGCGTTCAGCATTTATGTGATGTTGACAGCAGTTTGTCGTTCTGGATTTCTGTGGTCGTGACTCAGTCATGTGCCAGAACATCACTTACCATCACCCTCTTCTTAATATCAAATATCTTTCTTTTTTTGTGGTCATATTTAAAGCACAGAATAAAAATAGAAGGATGCACCTCCAGTTTGAGCATCCTTCGGTACGTATTCTATACCAAGCGGATTCTCCATGTGGACTTGCCTGTAATCTCCCAAACCCTGACCTCTTGATTCCTTGCTCCAATTAGTAAGCCCTCACATCCCGGATGATGACGTATGTCTCCACCAATCTGTCACATTTACTCCAACACATTCAGGATGCACCGTGGGGGCTATAAGAAGGCCTGTCAAAAAAATCTATTTATTGTGCAGTTGAACGAAACCTTCAGTACTTAATGTTAGCTGTAGCAATAAATGGCAATAATTAACCTGAAAAAGTACCAGAGAAACCAAGTTCTCTATTTTAAAAATAATTTATTATCACCTTGATGTGGTGTGTAAAGGTGCATTGGTTTAAGTGGTTATTAAGCCACTTAGTAAATGTAAATGTATCTAAAATGGTGATTTCCCGAAGGCTATTGAACATTTTAAGGTGAAACGTGCTGCAACATAGTTTTTGTAAGGATCCCCTATGGAAATCAACGTCTCATGACTGTGGTATTATCTCAGTTTAAAACAGTACGTGCAGCAACTGCCAACTGTCGTCACTGGCATATGTTTAGGGAAGATAATGACACGTTGTCATGGCTGCCAAACTACCGTAGATGCATGTACTGAGATAGAGAGACGCCGAATTGAAGCAGTGTTGCAGTTACCCAAGTTTGACACTTGAGGGCACTCCAGGGCAAGCCACTAACCTTTTGGTCAGTCTGCGTGTAGAAGTCAGATCTTCATTTCTGCAGGCATGACTGTCATTACGTTGTCAATGCTTGAGTCCCACAGATACATTTTCAGTGCATCTTTTGACATTTAGCCGTGTGTGCTATGTGTAAAATGACTTGTTGTCTTGTGTTGTTTTCTCCCGCCGCGGCCTCTTTGGTGCCCACAGAGCAGTTAGTGTTGGCCACCATTAGGCAGGAGACTTCTGATCTTCAGGAACCAGACCAAGGCGATGGTGCAACCATGCACGCCCGCCACAGAGACAGGTTTGATAAAAGTGAGTTTGCTCAAATTTAGACTGGATGACGCCCCAGTTTGTGAGTCCCGAGGTGCATGTGGCCATGCCCTAGGCGGCGGGTAGGAGCAGCTGCTTCCCAACCCCCGGCCCTCATGAGCTACATTATCTAGTCACTGAAAGTCTCTGCTTGTGGGTTTAGATTGAGTGGAACAGCTGTGGACTGTGAAGAACCTGTAGCTCCTCTGGGCCTGGAGTGATGAATGCTGTAGGACTTAACCCTCTCACTGCATGTAAAAATAGTTGGGTGAGCACTCGTGTCAGGGGGTCTTTACTCAAAAAAAAAACACAACATTTTTGAAGAGTACGCTTTACTCACTTGGACGTATGGACACAGCATGTCTGAATACACGCGTACACCAACACTGCATGTACGTAAACAACTGCAAGCTTGTTGTCTAGACAGCTGGGTCTGAGAAGGAGCTGCATGCTGCATGATGGAGCTTTGCATGATGTTGGCCATTACAATATGTTCTCATGTGTCTCTGTGTGAGAGAGAGTTAAACGTTTTCATAACTCATTATGAATTGATGCTGGTGACTTCGTCTGTCTGTGCGTGTGTGTGTAGAAGCACATGCAGACATGTGTTCTGTGTTGCAGACTCACTTGTAGGATTAGATTGTGGATTAGAATTGGGTGAAGTTGCAGAGCAGATATAGAGGAGATTATGATGCTCACTTACTTGTCCTCTAAGAGGCTTTCTCACAGGCCCTTCGTCTGTACTACGGTTATGCTGGGAAATGTACTCACTACCACGTAGTGATCGATGGCTGGGCTTGGATGTGTCAGGACCTGCAGAGTAGGAGCAGCAGAGAGCAGGACAGCCATGGCAGGAAGTGGTCGCCCGGGCAGACGAGGCTCTGTTGGTAATAGTTCTTTGACCACACAGCAGGCTAATTGGCCGCTGGATTATATGATATGAAGAAATAATGTTTAATATTTATTCATGTTGTTTTTACTAGTGATTATTAAAAGAGGAAATTGGGGTTATCGGTACATGGTGTTGTACATGGTAATTGGGGTTATCGGTACATGGTGTTGTTGTTGTCTTTATGGTGTAACGTATGTAGACCAAGTCCACCTGTTGACTGAAAAACAAGATTCAAAATTTGACTTGTTACATGATTAGTGCACAAGACCATCAAGGACAGCTCTGCATGTGCAAAAGAAAACTATGGTTACAGTGATCACCTCTTAATATACTGAAAATATCATTGGGCACTGGTACGTAACAACTGTTGTCTGACAGAACTTAGAAGCAGTGTGATGTCTGACAAGGAAGTGGTTCATGTTGCGAAGGTCTTGTAATGATGATTTAAACATAGTGGGAGGTAAAAAGCACATCTAACCACTAACCACTGTTAGACAGGTTTTGTAGCAACAGCTCTCTGGACTGAGAGGCTCTGAATAATTGGCACATTCTCTGATTTACAATGTTTCATTTATCTCAGTAGTGATTCACATCATTACTGAAATAAATCAACTGCAACTCCCACTGTAGAGAAACCAAAAGTGGCCGATCAGCTGTCTTCATCAGGACATGTGGGATGAACAGCAGCCTATCAGCTGTGAGTATTTGTAGCTTTTATACTACTGCTGTGTTTTTTTTAAGGAGTAGCTATTTCCTCTGTGGCACTATTTATGGCAGTTGTTTGGATTAAAAGGGTTAGCAACTACAAACCTGTCTTTGTTCCATGGAAAACAAGTGTGTGGCAGTTAATGGCATATTTGTGTGAGAGGGCGACACAGTGAGTGGCTGATAAAGTGAGTAGTTTCTCAACATGACGCTGGTCATTTGGTGAAATATACTCTGCTATACTTGAAAATGTAAATGAATAATTCAGCCAGTGTTCATCTAAATTATTCAGTCGCCTCGCTGGATGTTGGTGCAACACAATAAAATTAATGCTGTGCTAGGTCTTTTTCAAACTATTTCGTGAGAGATTTAACTTTGTCCATAATAGTCAACCATTTGGTGTTTATTGGTGAACTGATCGCACTTTAGTAGGTTTATAAATTAAAGTACCGTAACTGTAATTCTTGGGCATCTGCAATATTTGCTGATCAGTGCTGTTGAATGTCCATAGGGGAAACCCTGTAACTCACCTCAAATTCTTTTAGTCTATGTGTTAACAGCTGCTTGGTTAATAAATACACAAGTTAAGGTTATCGGACCCTCGGACTTCGGTGCTTCAAACGAAGCCGGCCTGGTCGTGGTCTGCTGGAGTTTATTGCTGGCTCATCAGTGGCACATCAGTAATGAGTGAGGAGGTGACCCCATCAGAGATGAGTAACAGAGGCATTGATCTCCTCCAGAAATGAATCAGAGCCAAAGTGCGATGCTGAGAAAGCCATTATTGATCACGTGGAGGGGTTAAAAAGTAGAAGTCGGGGGCCTGGGGATCTACTGTAAACAGCTCTGCAAGCACAGAAATGGAAAGATGTATTTGGGGGGGGGGTCTGCCACAGGTGCAGGTAGTGGAACATGATGATTTAAGGGTGGGTTCCTTAATGACTGGAAAAAAAGGGGATGGCATTAAGTTGCAGGTGTATTGCACTTCGACACTTTAACCTTGTATCATCCTTAATCACAGGCTTTTATTATCTTGATTGACTTCACTGCCCTTTGCAGAGTGGAGTTCCCGTCTCGCTCTTTTAGCTCTGCAGGTAACAGCCTCGTCAGAGATACCAAACGGAGAGATAAAGTGTTCATTATCAATTTGCCAGGGTAGACTTTGACCTTTGCTCTGTGCTCCGCATGGGTAGAAGCTCTGTGTGCTGTTCAAATGTGGAATGTGAAGCCTGGAGTTCCAGTTTGAAGCTGCAGTGTAACTGAAGTAACTGAAACATGGAGACAAATGTGTGTGCTATCCCACAATCCTGATTAATCCCGTCAGCCCCGGTGACTGTGTTTTTCACTGCAGCACTGTTTGGATTTCATGTCATCTGTTGACATTTGCACACAGTGCAGGCAGTGATCTGTTCAGCCTCAGGGACTGATCATGGAAAATCATCACACCGACGCCGCACTTGAAAGTGAGAGAGCTGCATACAGAATGATCAAGGAATTGAACCAACATACTTCTCCTCTGACCTGCACTCAGTAATTCTTCTTTCCTGTAAGCACAGCCTCTCCATATCCCCCCCTGTTGGAAAGTCTAATGTGTCATCAGTGAAGATGGAACAGCGGTCGGGGTTATCCCCTGGATAACCCCGCCCGCCCCGTGTCCAGGCCCTTTTACAATTCCCTGCCCCCTGCAGCAGAGCCTGCATAAGTGGAATATAACCATATTACCCTAATTGATTGATGTAGGGAAGGGGGCACTCAGAGGGGCGTGGGGGGGCTGGAGGGGGGTTGACGTGTGTAGACGTGCGATTGTAGTGCCGCAGAAAGTTTCAGGGCAGCGAGAAATCCAATGCCCCGACCGCTCTGCCAGTGCTTATTCTTTACTAAATTATTGATGCATTTGGTCTGTTGTTGTTTTCACTTACAGTCACACACACACACATACACACAAACACATACATACACACACACACAGAGCACTGATGATTCAGCGATCCCATCATTTTCAAAGACATTACAATAAAAATGCTAGGAGAAATATTATTATTGGAGAGCACTATAGAATTAGAACGAAGTCTCTGAAAGGTTTGGAAACCGACTTAGTGAAATACTCTGGATTTAGGCTCTCTCTCTCTCTCTCTCTCTCTCTGGAGTGTGTGGCTCCTTGAAAGCTAGGACTTTAAGATTTGAAGAGTGTCTCTCTCTCTCTCTCTCTCTGGAGTGTGTGGCTCCTTGCTTGCTAGGACTTTAAGATTTGAAGAGTGTCTGAATATGTGTTTTTCATCCAATAGCTGTCTGACTGAGGGGTTGGGTTTCTTTTTTTAATTTATAAATACAGTAAAAAAAAAAAGTGACTGAATGTCGACATGAAAACCACTCTCCTTGTGTTTGAGATCAGATCTTCAGAGTGGTTCACAGTGAATTGTTTACAGATGGTGTGTACGATTGCTGTGTGAGGCGTCCCCACAGGAGAACGCAACAAATGGAAAATGTATTTCCGTGTTGTGACCTCGCATAGCTTTTACAGTGTGCAGTCGTACCCTGTTCTTGTAGGCTTAATGACCACTTAGACCTCTGCACGCCATATTACCCACTCACTAATTCGCACATACTATTTGCAAGGCTTCTTCGATCACACATCTTTTATGTTGTGGTCAAGTAATGGCTCGGGGACACATCAGCATGACGGCTGGCTGAAACCCTGGGCCTTTAAATGGCCGTATGTACTGAACCACGGCATGTAAAGATGACTTTTATGCATTAAACAATGTTTAGTTTTTTAAACCTCAACTACATTAGGAAATTAGTGATAATAGTTTGATACCTGTTAGATGTTTATAGTTAAAACTCTGCTTTTGAGGTCAAGGATGTACCAGTTTAAAGGTCTGTTGCCTTTTCTTTAGGGTTTTAAAGATATCCTTTGAGTTGCATTACTACCACCTTGAGGAAATTACTGGTAAACCTTTTCACTCATGCTCAGGGCAGTGTAGCTGCAGATGTTTGTTTGTTTTTTTATCCCTGGATACTCAATCTTTAATTATTTCAAATGCACAGACGCTGTACAACATTTCATTATGGAACAAAAAGGAAAACCGTTATTTGGAACTTTGGGATCTTACCTTGGTAGTGTAACAACTTCTCATCACCTGAGAGTATCAGTAGAGAGCAGAGACCTGTTGTGTGCCACTGTGAGGCTGTTGCACGTGCGCAACAGGGTCGTGTAGTGATCTCCTGACATGAATGGATGGCCTCTGGCTCTGAGCTGTCATTTGACCCCGTCGGCGACTGCAACACAACACCTCGGAGTGGGGACATCGGGCTTCTGGCCCTTTAAATGCGGAGTGCAGCGGCCGGCGTTCCCCCTCCGCGGCGCACTGAGTGACAGACTGGAGGAGCTCCATATGGCCCCCTCCCGTTGTCTCGGTTTGTAGTATCCCAGCATCCCACGGGAGGAAAGCGGGGTTTGTGGCGGTTAAACTGGGCCAAATTAAGGCTTCCGTATGCGGCAGGTTGACAGATGACACGGCGGCGGAGGAGCTCGTATAATCTGTCAACGGGAGATCCCACCTCAGCTGCAAGGACGATAGAGGAGAACAGAGGAGGCGCGGCGGAGCTGCTGCATCTGTCCTCGCCCAGGTCTGCTGTTGTTGGACCAGCTGAGTAAACTCTCTCTCACACTTTTTTCTCTGTGCGTCTGTGCGCAGCGCCGAGACGCTCACTCTTCTCCGGCGTAAGCTGCGCCCTGCTCATGGAGCACTCGCGTGGGTGAACGTGCGGAGATCACGACGCGTTGAAATGGTTGGAGACGACAAAGGCAGGCAGCCAGGCGGGAGGAGCAGCAGCAGAAGGGGAGGCAAGGGGGGAGTCTGCGGGATATTAGACGCGCGTTGCATCCTTTGCTACTTTGTTTTGGATCCGTGGTGTGGTGGGAGACACTCTCGAATCTCCCCTGCGCTCCGCACGTGGAGGAAGTTCGTTTACGCGATCATAAAGCTGCGTTTGTTCGCCATTGTGCATCTCTCAGCACATCCTTTATTACGCTGGGGGTCCCGTGGGCGTCACCGAAAGCGCGGCTGTGCGCATTTAACGGTACCTGCATAATAACAGTGACAGACAGAAGGGAGGAGAAGGAACAGGGAGGAGGGGGTGTTTATAACGCGAGACGTCACTGAGTCAACCCCACCGACCTGAGCACTCACAGCGGGAGCAGATCTTTGGTACTCGTCGGTCGCCTTTTGAACTGTAAACCCGGTCTATGTCTCTCTGTCATTCTCTGCCTCTCCCTGTCTCTCTATCTGTCTCTCACCCATTCACTCACTCACTCACTCAGCCTCGCCTCTCTCCCATCAATCCAACGGTGCAGGACCCGCTTGCTCGTCCGCCGGTTACCGCAAGGCAGATGATGAGATGTCCGGCACCACTTCCCAGGCGGATCCCATAGATGCCACGGCGCGGACGGTGCTGCTCAACCGACCTCAGAACACCAAGTTCTGTGACAACCATGTCAGGTAAAGTGAAAATGAAAAACTCATTAACTTTGGCTCATCACGGCAGCCACGGCAGCGCCTGTGTCCGCCCCTGTGATTCATTCATACTGATCGGTGTGGGGTTTCAGTTTGAGTTCATTGCACCTGCAGCTTTATCTGAAGGATCAGGAGAGAAAATTTGACCAG